TAGTCCTTGGTGCATTTCCTCTCCAACAGATGAGCCGGAGGATACATGCGCAGCGTTTCTGAGGTATACAAACACACAATGAGTTGCTTTTGTATAAGAAAAGTAGCGTTGCCAACTCCGATGAATAGAAAATTATTTACCTTTAGTATTTTTAGTAAACTATGAAGCTTACGTCTTTCTTTGATTGAGCTTGCGAAGCATATTTGGGAATGTAAGAATTTCGATCGTCTTATGGTTTCGGATTATCGTAGTAAAAACAAACTTGAAATACTACTAACTATTTGAACTAAAATTAATGCTAAATTCAATTGAAATTGTTTCACTTGAAACACTAGACCCACAAACGAGGATTACAGTTCCTCACCCACCTTCTTGTCTCCATCGTCACCACTACGGCCGTGGGTAAACCATCTAATCGACTTCGTCGCTCAACCAAGGAAACGCAGATCCATGCATATTCTATCGCCTTGCCTCTCATTCCCTGCGGTCGAAAACCTGGAGCGGCTCTTGCACCCTGCATATGCCATGATCGCGACATGGCTATAAATCGAGCCATTCAACAGCCAATCAAAACTCGCTAAGGTACGCGTATCAGGCGATTTTTAGTCTGTGATTAGTGGGTCTACTTTAATTAACCTTCAGTATTTGCCTGATGGAGGTACGCGCTCTTATCATCTTTTCTTGATAACACAGACCCTGAGTGCGACGGGCAAGCCACTGTTTGCCGATGAAATATCACCAGCAGCGTCGACCAATGTCTCCTCATTTCCATCATTGGGGCCTCTTACCTCCACCACTATACACGGTCCACTGGTTATGATGCAACTCCAGATGTTGGCTGACTCTGGACTCTGGAGTAGCTACTGCTACCATATATACCACAGTCACAATTAAAAGCCTCGAACACGCTCTGGAGTAGCTACTGCTACCCCATATACCTCAGTCACAATTAAAAGCCTCGAACACGCGAGTCCTCGGAAGTCCATTATCTTCACACACTTTTTTAACCATTTTATAATTAACTGTTCAGTGAAATACGTCCCTACAATTCCCTCACTCATATTTATCTCCTCCCGACTAGTCCACAGCTGGGATGTACAATGTAGCAACACACAAATACTCGGCAATCCCTATCACCCCCCGAACACACAGCAACCTAGGATCATTTCCCTCACTCCAACTGCAACGGTCTTGCTCCGTAGGAGACAACCTATGAAACCCTGTGAGTCGCGTTGACCACCGGTCTGTTCTCACGTTAGGGCCAGGGCCACCAAAACTGCCGACATTTAACGCATTCTGACTCCAAAATTGCCTGCATTTAACGCATTCTGATGGCCTAACCTGACATTAGGGCTTTTCAAATGAGGGCACAACTATCATTTACAAAAGTATTATATCGCCATCTTGAAATATCTTCAATCCAAGTTCAATTGCGCCTCAAAGATTGCCCTCACCACTAAGTACACGTCTGCCCTCACCACAAAGTACACGTCTGCCCTCACCACTAAGTACAGCGTCGAGGTACTTGCACTCCATGACGTCCTGGTAGGTGAGTTTGCCGCTCTCGTTACCCTCAATTCTGGCCGCGATCTCCGCCCTAAGACGAGCCTGACATTGAGGGTTACGGGCGAGGAGCGCTGCGGCGAAGCAGAGGGTGTTGGCTGTGGTGTCGTAGCCCGCCAGGATGAAGAGGATGCACTGCGCCACGATGGTCGAGTCCTTCAATCCGCCTTCTGCGAGTATAAGAGAATGTCAGCTCACTTTCTGTTGTCGCTTACTTATTGCCACTCGCATCCGGATGCGGCCTAACTTTATGTTGCGTGAAACCTAATGTAAGGGCACTTTTGTAATGTACAGCCGAATGTCATAACTTCTACAAAGTGCAATCTTTGTTCAAGCTCCTCAGAAATGTACCAAACATATGTCTGCCCATTTAATTATGATTTCAACGGACCTTCTGTTATAGAGAACTTATTTGTAGTAATTGTCTGTATTATCCAACAGGGTACGGTACTTTATAAATGAATATTCTTCTAATGTCAATCGATTTTTTACTTATTGATTTTTAGTAAATAACACACGCTACCAGATAAAATTACACTTTGAAGCCATGGAATCGAAGTAAAAAATTACACTTCCGACCGATTCGTTGCTATAACTAAACATTACTGACAAAAAAATCGGGTTACAATAAGGCACCAAGATGTTTATTCTACCTTACATCTTAGCAAGTTCATTTTCAACCAGTCACGTACTTTTCACCCCCTTAGGATCGACCTCGCCCTCCTGTTCCTTCGTCAACTCCCTGGCATCCAGCAGCAGGTCCAAAAAGTCCCCTCGGCGAACTCCATTTCTCCTGGCAACCATTGTATCCCGAACCACTTTTTCCATATACCTCAAGGCAGGAGTTGACAAACTAATTCGCAAAAACTTTACCAGTTTTGGGAATAGTAGGAACAAGATAAATTTTACCATTGCCTTGAATGTAATCTTGAACAAATCTACTGCTTTTTCCATAAACTCCTTGTTTTCGCCACCCAACGTGTTCGTCTCCAGACCAAAAGCGCAACAAGCTATTACATCCAAGGTGAAGCTGTTGAAGCTTTCTTTGACGTTCACAAGACAATTCGCATCTCTGCGCTGTCTCAAGCTGCTCATCAACGTAGTTGATTGTTCCTGGACGAGGTGGAACATATCCTTCATCTTGCCCGACGCGAACGCGGGGGTGAGCTGGTTTCGGATGTGCTTCCAGTGATTACCAGTTGCGTTAGTGAGACTGTCGTTCATCACCTCTGTATCTGTGCCTGTCATGTCCATATTACGACGGTCAACGAAGTGGTCAAAATCCTTAATGCATATCGCGACGATAAGTTGAGGGTCTTGTATGGATAAGGAAGGGGTGAGGTAATCATAAGTCCCGACGTATCTTTCTCCGCGAGACTTGAGGTATTCCTGGAAATTAGAAGCTGTTTGAGTCTCAAATGTGCGAACTATTAGTCTCATAATTGATGTCCGATGAATGCATATCGCACATTAATAAATATAATAGATACAAAAGACACTGGATTGTAAGGAGCTCTTGAATATTCGGCTTGATTTTCATTTGGAACGTCAAATCAGACGTTGAATGTCATCCAATTTCAAGAAGACTTCGGAGTAATAATTTACTCATCACAAGCTCCATTCCTCGTAACATAAAATTTCTGCTCCGCGAGAATTGCAAGACAGCTAATTATATTCAATTATATTCCCGTCAAGCAAGGGTAGATTTAATAAGTGACATCTCTGGAGGCGGGCGAGCTACTTTCCAATATGTTATTCTTGTCCTATCAAAAACGTTTCAGTTGTAGAAACAATTCCCTCTGTTAAATTCGTACTGACCTCATACCTCCAAAGGTGCCCCACTTTGAACACGTTCATGTTGTACATGGTATGTCCAACCAGAGGCAGGTAGGGCAGCACGGGTACTCCTCTCCTCTGCCAGTAATGTTGCTTCCTCCAAGCGTGCAATATCAACGCTGTCAACAGCACTACCAGCACCGTCACCACGAACAACCACATATCTGCCAAGGCAACCAATCAGCGTTAGGTTCAGGAAACATTTCAGTTGAGAGGGTCACAAATAACATCAAATCACGTAGTTTCTCCAATAGCAGCACAATCACACTTGCTCTTTTTAGGATCGTCACTATACTCAAAGTTCTAGCCATACTACAAAAAATACTACTACTTTGTAGGAAAATACTACTGCTCTGTACGAAAATACTACAAATAACTACGGTACTTAGTAGTATTTTCCGTCACGCCATTTCCAGTTACCATGATGAAGTGAAACTAACAAGGAATCCTAGAAGCTATGGTTGAACTAGATTACTAGAATAAAGCATATAGTTCAACCATGATAAAAGCGACATACAAACAAATACAAAAATTATGTCCTTCCGGGGGATAGTCAAGAAACCCCCACGCTGCCCAATATGATGAAAATAGATGCAGGATAATGAAATCAGATTTATTCGGCCTAATTTAGAATGTCAAGGTAAGAACATCTAAGAGCCCATTTGTGCTCTGCCAGCAGCAGAGCCTGAACAATGGAGTATTACCCTTATAGTGAGTTTAGTGACTTCCTCGCGCTCCGCCTCACTTAATACTTGATAACTTCACTATAGATTTTTCGATAAAAACCGGTCTTTACACGTACAAATAACTTACTAAAGCAAAGGAATAGCAATACCGGCGAGTTTCTCCGACGTTGTTGACAGTTGACACAGGGGTAGCTGCAGTCTTCCGTCATGGTCGCGGTACGCAATCCAATCTACGATACACTTAATTACGCTAATCCTGTTCGCTTTAGTAATTAAGCTCGTGAAAAGAGCTAAGTTAGACACGACGTTTGTAGAATCTTGAATTGCTGTGCAGGATAGGTACCGACCTCAGTTCGCAACTCTGGTGTTCACGAGTTAAAACTCTTCTGCTTCGATCTGACTACAAATGATCGTGATATATTAGTCAGTCGTCAAGGATACAAAACTGATTTACACTAATTATTTTGTCTTTATTTTACTCAAAACTTCAGGCTTCCTAAAAGTTAACCATCGAATTTATTTTGTCGCTTGCAACGTTGAAATTTTGCCATCGTGAAAATCGATTTCGACAGGAAATAAGAGCTACGGGAGGTAAACTAGCTACGAAGACGCGCTGCACTCGAAAATTTACAGCTTACAAATAAATATTGTGCTACCAAAACATCTAACATAATTTCGACCGCACCAACTCCACAATAGTAACAATAGGTACAACAAATTAAATCTTACAACGTTCAAAGGGAATAACATCGTCGTTACAGGAGCAACTTCGGAAAAATTATGTATAAGAACTAATACTGCGGCGTTAAGGATTGAATCTTTCCATAGAATCGATCGACTGATCGAGTCTGTCAACTTTAGTGTTTTAGATTTTCGTAATAAAAAAACCTTAGGTATGACCGACCTGTCACTTACATCAGTGTTCTTCTTCGTCGATCCAACGTTGTAGCACTTGTATTGCCTATAAATAATTTATAGAGCGAGTGGAATAACAGGCAGTGGGGGGGGGGGTATTATTACTGGGTGGAAGATCTCCCGGTGCCAGAAGTTAGGTACTCCCGAAAGTCTCGCGATCAGCACCAAACCATGTTCGGTAAGCCTATATTGGCATTGCTAGGCCGCTCCTATGAGGCTATGAAAGTATGAAATAAATATTCCACTTTGTGATCACCCTAGTCTTCTTCTTCATCAACGTACTAACACTCGCATACAACTCGATTTAATAAATATACTATCTACGTGCTGAAGCCGGTGTACATATTCAGCTTTCGAATTCTACCTTAAAGTGCTCACTGCTCAACCCTCAAGGATTACTAATCGCTATTAGTAATAACGATTCGCCATTCTCATTCTGCCCCCAATTCCCAAATACCATTGACCGTTGACACGGAACAAAAATCTGCACGTCTCGTTGCATCTTAAGTGTTAAGAGACGAAAAAATATTTCGAAATTAGAGAAAATATTAGCCAGTGCCTTCTTGCATGCTCACCAATTTGGCAAACTGAAACCAACATCTCGCACATGACCGTTGCTCAACGCACACAATGTCACAGTCTCACTCTCACAGTCTCACAGACAATCTGAGACTGAGACAAAGAATTTCGCGAATCGCGACTGGCGGGAGATTTAATGCCCTAAACTGCTTAACTGTAATTATTTCTACCCTAAATTTTGATTTACCAAGTCTCAGTAAAATTCGAGGAACTATCTTCACTTCATGTGAAATTTTACTGCAAAAACTCATTTTCAATTGATTTTTTTTTTTTTCTTGGATCCGTCCACGATGATTCATCATCTTGGCGTTAGATGATTGGGAGAATTGTCTATAATATGAGTATAATAGGGTATCACTTAAAATTTTCATATATGATTTATGATCGCAAATTATTCATTTTTCTACAATATGAGTATAATAGGGTATCACATAAAATTTTCATGTATAATTTATGCTCGCAAATTATTCATAGTCATTTAAGGACTGTGTACTGAAGACATTCAAGCTAACTTCCTACCAGTGGGTCACGTCATCACACGAAAGCTTGCGGTCATCGTAGCTTGCAGTTTTCGCCGCTCACGATAGAGTCGTGATAAGCGAGATAAGGTAGCTGAGCTCATAAGCTAATAAATCACGAGCATATAACTTCGTGATCATAGAACATTGTAATCAGAGAACATAATAAAAGAAGAACATCAGAAACATGGAACATCACGATGCTCACACATCGTGACTGCAGAATATTGCGAACTCGCACGACGCGAACAATCAACATTTGAAAGATTGACAGTTCATGCGATACGTTGTAAATTCTGTCATTTGCAACACACCGACTTAAACGTTATCATTTGCAACCTGCTGACAAAACATTAGTCATTTGCTTCCTTTTCACATTGCAACAATTCTTTGCTAATTGTTCACCTTTCATTTCGTCTGGCGTCAGGTTTGCACAAACCGCTGTAGTGTCATGCTGTTTGAATCGTACCTGTATCGCTTTCTAAGGGTTATATCGTAAAACGAAATAAATTTAAATACACTGATTTATTTGCTTTAAAATTCAAGTAAATTTACATAAAATTTATATTAAAAATTAATTTCAACACTCGTGATTCGATTGAATTGCTGACCCCAAACCTCCCACTCGTATCACCGAGCTATCACAAACATTTTACGCATATGAGTTTGATGATACGAGATAGAAGGCTAGTAAAGTAGGTACTCAGTATTATAAACGTAAAGTAAGAAACGATAAATTAATTTTTTAAGTATAATATTTATCAATCAATATATTTATATTTCTCTAGACTTGGTCAGCGCAACTAGTAAGCAGATAATGGGGTAGGTCAGCGTCAGACAATAGAGTACGAGCTGATAACGCTCAACTGTGATAACGTTGGTTCAAAAATTCTTGATTGAAGCATATCACGTATTGTAAGTTGCCTCCTCTCGCAACGATGTTCGAATACAAATAAATTCTCAAACTAATAAGAGTTGATAAGTTCTTCGTCATTGAATATAACAAGGAAGTTTGTACGTGAACGAGACGTGACCTTGAACGAGCATCGCGGTTGTGACTGCAGCGGATCTAACATGGAGGCGTAAACATAGCAACATCATCTCTTCACATCCATGTTTCTCCACATCACGAAATTATATTTGTTATAATAACAATCACTCACTTCATTACATCTCATAACGCCGCACACCATTTGGATGTTGTAACTAGGTAGACGAAGATATCCTCCTGACTAAACCAAACTAGTACGTATGTCACATAAGGTGAACGTGTTAAGCCATTTTGACTGAGCTACTAAGCAGAACAAGCGAGAATCATACTTTCCATGAGTTAATAAGTCTTAAGTCAGCCTTACCTCTTAATTAGCTCAGAATTGTCTACACAAAAAGAAATCTTTCGGCAATTGAAGGAACAGGCGGAGCAGTCTGGCAGACACCGGCACCTAACGTGGCCACTAGAGCAATAGTGGCGCAAGAAGCAGCGCTGCTGAGTCATGGGCGACCATATCAGCGATGACTGATCATCACTCACTGCTGTAGCATTAGCTGCATCAGCGGGGCTGACGAAAATGATAAGGTAAATCATACCGTTAATTTGTGTCTTCGAGTTAATCATTCCCGTTATTGTTATCGTCAGGTTAATAATATAAATTAAAAAAATTGAATTTCTTATAGTCAACTGCAAAGGCATTATATTCTTCGCCTTCACTCAGGCACTTATCACCTACGCCTCTCAAGAGTTCACCAGTTTCGCATTCATGTTCAATACCGTTACTGGTGCTTTGGTCATCCCATGCTTGCCATGCCAGAGCATTGACGATGGACGTCAGATGGTACTGACGGCAGATGGTACTGACGTCAGACGATACTAACGGCAGACGGTACTGACGTCAGATGGTACTGACGTCAGATGGTACTAACGTCAGATGGTACTGACGTCAGATGGTACTAACTGCAGATGGTACTGACGTCAGATGGTACTAACGGTAGACGGTACTGACAATGGTACTTTGGAGGAGGGTTAGGTTTTTCCGAATTGTGGTTGGAATTGAACAAGATTTTATCCGTCCTTCTTCCTTAATTGATTGATGTAATAGTATCTCGAGTAGGGTGGAGTGAAGAATCTCAAGTTTCCGTTATTTATTGATT